ACTCGTCAGGACTGGGGAAGGGAGGTGGGACAGCAGAGGAGAGAGTGTCGGTGTTGGTGTCTCAGAAGAGCAGTGGGGTCCTGGCTCCAGGGTGGGCTTGGGAGGGTGCTGAGAGCCGAGGGCTGCCAGCAGGGTCAGGGCAGACGGTGAGGCAGGCAGGGAGGTGTGGCTGCGCCCGGGACAGCACCGAAATAGAAGCTTGTTTCTCTCCACACAGTGACGCTCAGCTCGGGGCTACACTTGAAGGAGCCAGGCGGGTAGCCAGGAAGGCCATGGCGGCAGTGTCCACCCTCCAGCCTGGCCTCCAACAGCACTCCCGTCGAATGGGGAACCCTGACACTCTTGGCAAGGGCAGGAGGTGTGTGAGTGACAACTCAGGGGATCTGGGATTAAGTTGATGGTTTGGGGAGGGCTCCAGGAAGCGGGATCCGATGCTCCCAGGAGGCAGAGTCGTTCTCTGAGCAGGGCTGGCGGTCTATCTAGAAGGAAGATGGGATGACAGAGGTTGAAGCTCCCTGGTAAGCAAGCGGTTCGGGCCTCTGTAAGAGGATACTTGGGCATTTCTGTGGCTTGGACAATGTTCACGTTTTGTGTCCAGACAGGCCGCCCAGTGCAATCGTGTTCACCAGACACCCAAGCCCTAAGCTGTAGGCTCAGCTCATGTGTAGGGGAAAGGCCAAGGAAGTCTCTGAGCAGAGAGCGCTCCAAGGCAGGCACCCACTGCATGTTTCAGCAGGTCAGCTTCCCCCGCTGTTTGCTTTGCTTGTGGCAGATCAGGCCATTCCTGCAAACTGCCCAGAGTGAACCATCGTGAATGAACTGCAGCCAAGGCAGTTCCAGGCACCTGGGTCTCTGGAGGGCTCTAGGGAAGGGTGTTGCTCTGGACCGCACTCCCACCCAAGAGTCGAGGTTTACAGACCGGACAGCAAGGGAGAGAGGTGTCTCTGGATGGCCAGGCGAGACCAGTTCGGTTCCTGATTTAACTGAAGACGACAGCTTCCTTGGGCCTGCTCATAGCTGAGGCCAGCACATGTCCGGGTGAGGGGAGCTGCAGCGAGCCGGGGGCTGAGCTTCTTGGGGCAGTGGAGCTGTCCCAGAGGAAGGCCCCCTCGGAAATGGCCGGTACCAGCACCTTCCAGGTGGGAACTGAGGCTTCACCCAGAACCACCAGGACCCAGGTTGCCCGCTGTCCCCTGCACAGCCCAGGGCTACTCCAGCACACAGCACGCCGACGTCACAGGAAGCAGGTACCACCCAGGAAATCCACTTGGGACAGAGACCATGTTCTGTTTTATGTGGATCGGAAGTCCACGCTTGCTGGCGTATTTGTGCGTGCATGTGCGTGCATGTGCGTGCGTGTGCGTGTGTGTGTGCGTGGTGTGTGCGTGAGAGAGAAAACATGGCCCTCCCTCCCCCTTCTCTCCTCACTCTCCCACTTCTTTCCCTGCCGGGGTCCAGCCTCGGCGTGGGTGGGTTATCTCGACGGAGGCGGCGCTGGAAAGGAAGACTAAGGCCTCGATGCTTTTCATGCACGTCCTTAGCCGGACACTCCCAAAGATCGCTCTCTGAGGAGTGACAACTGCTAGGAATCATCGTGCCTTTTTATTGAAAATGTGATACATGCAAGTAAATGGGTGAGGGGCAGTAAAAGATTTACTCTAAGGAACAGGGTATACAAAGCATGGAAGCAATAATTATAAAACATGCTGTTTGTCTTGTTAGCTCAGGCAAAGTCAATCACAGTTCTCAGGATGAGGAAGTCCATTTGTCTGCTGTATCTTCTTCTTAGATCTTGATTACTGGGAAGGGTCTTTTGAAGAGGGGGCTTGCCACGATGGTTGACCACTGCAGTCCCGGGCCAGGGCGATAACGTTGCTGGTTACAATGACCTAGATGGAAATCTTGTCTTGCTAAGTAAAGACACAGTTAATATATGGACTATCTATACATTACAACAATAGAGGATGAGTCTATGATCTTATATGGGAAAGGAAGATGATCTTGTAGCTCCGGAGACAACACAGGATGTTTTATTAGCAGTTTTTCATAGTCAACAGCACATAGATGAGAAACTCTTTGTAGTTGAAAGCTACCTGTTGCTTTAGATAAGAACTCCCAGCTAAAATGGTTAATCTTTCTGTGGAGCCCTCAGCTTTGTTTATTCTGTTGTCCCATCCAGGCTTTTTCCTCTAATAAATCTGTGGGTTCCTGCATTTTGTTTGTTGAGTCTTGTCAATTAGTGAGTTCTTTTGTTTTATCTCTGAGTCTCTGTTATGTGGTGAATGTGCTGACTTTGCTAGTGTGAGTTAACTTTGGCCTGTAGCTTTAACAAGGGGTATGTAAGTAAAACTAACCTTAAACTAACTCAGTCTACATATGCTTCTAATGCTAATTTGGTTTATACTAACTTAATCTATATGTTAATTTTGGCTTAAAAACAGACAGGTGGGGGAGTCTTAAACTTCCTGATCCTCCTGTCAGTCTTAGGGAACCACATTCCTACAAGATCACTAATTGGCTTTATTGCAATGGTTGGGGGTGATGTTTTACCCTTACACGGTACAGTAATAACAGTAAAACTCATGGCAGAGAAATTGAATACCGGCCAGTTCAAGGACACAAGGGAGAGCTCGTAAACTGGGCCTTGCCTCAGTTTCTTCCCAGTCCAGGCCTTGCCTTAGAATGGGAGGCAGCATCCTTACCAAGTTGTGTTGCCTGCATGGCCCCGTCAAGAAACAGTACTCAGAACAATTTTTCTCCTTGGAAACCGCCTTCAAATGCAGACATCACAATGTCATGTGGCGTTGACCCCCATCAGGCTTCACTGGGGACAGTGGCAAGAGCGGGCTTTGCTAGGTCCATGGAACCTCTATCCTCTCAGGAACCTAACTGGCTCCTCATCCTGCCCTGACTGAGGCATCTTTGCATCCGGAGAAGTTGCTGGGAACTCCAGAGCCCTGGTGTTTAACTGAGTCTGAGTCATAGCTCAGGAAATAGCAGGGAGGGCTCCCTGGCTTCTGGGGTACCACTGTATCCCATAGTGACCAACTGAAGCCACTGCTCAGGGTGCAGGTGAGTCTGGCAGTTGCTCCAGGAGATGCAGAGAGGGAGTGAGGCTGATCATCACAGGCTGTAAATGGAATCTGCAGATAGAGAAGCGTAGGGGTAATGGGACCAGAGTGATGTTTCTTGGGGCAATTGGCAAGAAGCAGAATGGGAGCTGCTCCTGATTCCCACAGCCTGTCCCTACCTGTGCAGTGAGAGAGGAGCATGAAGACAAGAGGAGTCCAGGCCATGGTGGGCACAACCCCTGGTCCCCACATGACTAGGCTGCCCCAGAACCCCTTTCTTCCCACCCTCTGCCACAGGAGGGGCTTTTCGTTCAAATGTGTGTCCATCCAGTGACTGCCCAGCTCTTCCCTGAGCCCTGGGCTGGGGCTCTGCTCACAGTGCAGTCTGAGGGGGAGGGAGGTTGGCTCTGTCCCTTGGGGAGCCCTGGGAGGAAGCACCTGCTGTGACAGCACAGAGGGCCTTGCTCAGGGTAATCTGCTTGTTGGTGAGGATATTTCCTCAAGTTTCCAAACTATTTTTTCTCATTTTTGTAAGACTTCATCAGAATGAGCTTTACAGCCCGTGTTTCTATCAATGACCTCTTCATAACCACTACGTAATCTCTAAGAAGATTGAGGTGGTCCCTGTAGCGTCCCCCTTCTCCTGAGCCCTCCCCAGAATAACCATTAAGGTCTCTTTTACCACAATGTACCTGAAAAGTCTTTACATCTATCCATTACCCAGTGCAAAACCACTTCCACACTTTTGGTGTATTTTTTTTTTT